GGTTATCAAGTCTTGGAACAGGCTGCCCAGGGAAGGGGTTGAGTCACCATCCCTGGAAGGATTGAAAAGACGTGGAGATGAGGCACTTAGGGACATGGTTTAGTGGGCATGGTAGTGTTGGCTTGACGGTTGGACTTGATGATCTTAGAGGTCTTTTCCAACCTTAATGATTCTATGAGTCTATGATTGGTCTATTACTGTAATCTTTTAAATCAAATTGCATTTATTTAGTAAAGGCGTATGTCTTAGAATCAGTCTCTCAATAAGCCCCATCATATGACAGTATGTAAAAGAGTGAGAACTTGTTTTTCATAACACAAATTCTTAATTCCTTCTCTTAATTTTTAAAAGGACCTGAGTTGATACGACCAATATAATTTTGTTTGAGGGAAGTATATTGTTTGCAAATCTCTCTCAAAATCATTTATCTAATACAATCTGAACAATCTTCCTGTCTAGCTGTACAATACTTACATTCAGAGTTTAATCTGAATATTAACACAGCCTTTTGTAATAAAAAATAAGACACTTTACATGTGAATTTATCGTATGTGTGATCTCTGACCATAGTGCCTGATTTCTTAAATGTTTTTTTTTCTTTTATTCATAGCACAGGGCAAGATTCCACCCAATGCAACATTGATCTTTGAGATTGAACTTTATGCGGTAAATAAGGGACCTCGCAGTGTTGAAGCATTTAATCAAATAGACAAGGACAGTGACAAGAAACTCTCTGAACTTGAGGTAATGTCATGTAACTAATTTGGAATAAATCACTTATAAAACTATAGGTATAGTTGCATCAGTGTTATCTTTACATGAGCTGCCTCTGCTGCAGTTCATCATGTAAAGCTTCTGTATGCTTACACAAACTACACTCTGCAATGTTGAAATTTGCTTTGATTAATACATTAGTATGTCTCAGACTTGCTGGGAAACAAACTTTAGACGAGTCTGCACTGGAGTCACAATAACTTACATATATAACCCAAGTGTCCTTGAAGATAGCTGTTGAGTACTAGCATAAGAGCCACAACGGTTGGACTTTTTTCTTTTCTTCTAGATAAGCCAGTATTTGAAAGAAGAATTTGCAAGAGATGGCAAAAAACGTCATCCCTCAGTCCATGATGAAATCTTAGCTGATATATTTAAGAAGAATGACCATGATGGAGATGGTTTCATATCAGCAAAGGAGTACAATGTCTACCAGCATGATGAACTCTAAGTACTTAAAAAATCTTTGGCTGTTTTCTGGACACTGAATTTCAAATAATAATACTTCGTCACAGAATTTTTTGTATTTTTTTTATAGTGGCATCTTTTTATATCTCTTAAGGTGACTGTAAAAATCTTATTTTTAACATTCAACTAATAAAATGTGTTAGATATTTCAAAAGAAAAGAATAAAATTGGAAAACACCATGATCTGTTATTAGTGGTTCCTGTGTCATGTCCTAATCTACAGTATTGCTCAGTAGTCTTTCTGATTGTGTAAAATACCGATGAAAATAATTATTTCTGTCCTATCAAGCACACAACAATGGTTCCAGTATCTGTTGACATAGTTAGAACATAACTGATGAATACTTCTCAATCCCGTGTAAAATAAAAGGGGAAAACAGAATCCCGGGAAGGTAACTCTGTTAAACCTCTGCAGGCTCCTAGGCTAGTTTCTTGAGGAATTGCCGTTTGCAGCAAATTTAACTATAAAAGGCCTTAAAATAAATGAACACCATCATGGAATGTCAAGATAAAAGCACAAATGTTTTTAAAGCAACTTAAAATAACCTCTTTGATGTAATATCAGCATGAATAATTTGGTGTTCGTGAAAAAGCGAAAAGTGGGTTTTTAAACTTCGACTTAGTAAAATTATTAAGCTAGCCAGTTTATTCAACAACACCAAGTTAAAAATCTACACTATCATGATGTACTTGGATGAGGTGGATGATGATCGGAGATACTCTGTATAAACGTAAGTAATTATTTGGGCATCATTCTGGTTTCCCTCACTTTGGAAAAATGCAAAGAAGTAGCGATAGTTAATAGACAGTACCTCAGGCTAGTTAACTGTTCCGCTTATGCAGATGTCGTCATAATACTTGTGTAATACACTTCACTCTTCTCATGTGAAAAGCAATGGCTGTATTCATTTCAACATGTAATAATCAGATGTACACAGTGAAAGGGGCAGCAGAAGTAAAAAGCTTCCATACCTGGCTTATCCTTAAAATCATTCTAAAAGGTAGAAAAACATTTTTAATTGTTTTCCCAGTTTACAATAACGTGGGGAGAGCTTCAACAGTACGCTAACCAACAGCACTCCCAATCTCAGTATTGGATGCAATTCTGTAGTGCCCTCTGGTGTTTGTATTCTCAACAACGCAGACTTAATTTTCCGTGGTTGAGATCTACCAGTTAAAGACCTTCACCCCTGAAGTCTTGCTGGAAGGATGTAGTTCTGTTATTTTCGTAAGCTTCCAAAGCATTTTCTGCTAAGCAATTTTTTTGAACACATAATGTCAAGAGCAGCTGTGACCTAAAATCCAAATGCAGAAGGTGGACTGGCTGGTACTTTTTACTAAGCTAAACAAACTGTGGTAATGGCATACTAATATGAAATGCCTATCCCTAGTTTTAGTTGTTCCCTTTTGTAAATGAAACACTAGACTGAGCTAAGTTTTAGCATGTTTTTTAATCTGATACTTCAATTAAACATTCATGAGAACACTAAATTATTAACAAATATTCTCATTTTACCATCATATGCCAGTGTAGATAAAGGCAATACTTTGGGGTTTAACAACAAGTTTGTGTAAACTTAAAGTAAGCTCTAGCATATATTTTGACATTATGACAATACAGTTTAAAAGTACATTTTTCATTATCATGATAATGAAAGGAGAAGGTTCTAGAAAGAGGAAAAGCAATGTCGGAATGCATGAGGGCATTTTCAAGTAAAAGGTCATTGAAGCAAATAACTTGAAGATAATAGTGTAATAAAATGTTTTGCACTTTCACTATTTTGCATTTCAACAATTTGAGTCATATTTACTATTCTGAAAAGTTTGTGGCACAGTTATGCCCATGTCTGCGACAGGAGGCACTTACCTGGCTCAGTTACTTTACTCTCTTATGCCAGAGGTCAAAACAGGGCACAGCATGCAGTCGTACGTACTTTTGTCCGTTAAAAGAACACTCTAGGCATCCGTAGACTGTCTCCCTTTTAGAACTTCCCATTCCACAAAGGACACAGGGACCTTTGGGGATGTTGTTATTAAGTAAATTAATTCGGATATGAGACCCTTCTCTGAGATAGCTTGTAGAGAGATCAGTCATGCTCGCAGCTTTTTCATAATAATCTGTAAAAAGGTCCTCCAGGTAAGCATCAGAGTTACCAGTGGTATCCACTACTCTTTTATCTGAAAAAGAACGCACAAAAAAAAGAAGGAATGATTTGTCATTACATTATGAACTGTTTACAAAAAACCTGTCAATCTAATTATGGAAATAACAACTGATTCATGAAACCATTCTAAACATGCCACGTTGTAGATTACTTCCCATCAAAAGCCCTGTGTGATGAAAATTTTTCTTTAATTTCACAAAAGACACTGACAAAAGAAAATTTTTTTATAATAATATTTTTAGAAATGCACCTAAAAGATGGGCATGAGGCAAGCTTTTGAAAAATTGGTGCCAAATCAAATCACAGCTGCGTACTTTCCTGTTTAACCATTTTTATTTTTGCATTTCTAGTTTTATTTTTGAAAAATTGTAGATTCACTTTTTTTTTCCTAGTATTTACAAAAAAACCACCAATACTTAAAAGGTTTAGAAAATTTGGAGGACTCCAGATTGACCTCCTAGCAGATTTCTGAGCCTCTGAACACCCCAGGAAGAAATCACTTTTGGGACTACCTACCTTCTTCCTCTCTCTTCAGGGATTGATCAGTTTAGATTGGATGACAAACTTCTAGGCAGCTACAGCTACTGAGATGTAGCTACAGCTACTGAAGATTTATTCCCTTAGAGTGGACTGGAGCAGCACTGAAGGCTTGGTCTATAAAAGCTCTTGGATCAAGAACGGGATACAATGGAGCAAGGACATCTATACAGAGCAGCCTTTAGAAGGATGTGTTTACTGCTCAACGTTTATCTTCACACTCAGATTTGCAGATTTCCAAAATACTTAGACCAAGGGCTGTTAGAAGTATAGGACCTTGTTCTGAAGAAAATACAGCTACATACAATGGTACTCAGTTTTGTTGGATGTTGTGTTCATATCAGAACGAGAAAAGAGAACTATGATGGTATCTTGCCCATGTCCCTGCCTAAAGAGTACATTCAAATGTTTAAATTAATATTGTTTGCTATTTAAACTTAGAGAGTTTGCCCTGAAATATTATTTCTAGATTATAACTTATATTGCTTAACACTAGCTGTAATTGGCAAGCATATGTAGTAGGCTTAATGTTAACTGAAGTTAGTTGTATAATTACTCCATACCAGTTTATCATCAGCCATAAACTTTTATTTTAAGATCTTTAGAGTTTTAATGAACAGCAATACCATAAATTTGTTATTTGTGAAAGAGTCAAATTCTCAAATATAAATTTTAATAACTTTACAATCATTTCAATACACAAGAAATTGAGAGGTACATTTTCCATCAAAATTTTCTTCTTTAAACATTCATCTTGCACATAAATTAAAGAAACAAAAACACACTCTTCTTGCATTAACTAAGACATTTGGATATAAATATCAAAAGTCATACTTCGATGAAACAGATTACTCTTTAACCTCCTTAATTTGGTCAGCGAAGATGATCCAGATTTCTCTTTTTCAAATCCTCCTTTTGAAATTGGAGTCACACAGAGTTCTGTAAAAATTAAAAATAAGTTTTTAAGAACGAAATATAAAAGCAATAATTGCGCAACAGAGTTTAATAGGCTTTCTAATCTGTGAAGCTAACAGTGATTAAATTCGGCTTTGCTAATGTTTTTAATGGCTAGACTACTTTTTAATACAAGTCTGCACAAGTAATTGCCCATAGAATCAAGTGACACACATTCAATGGGAATTTTAAAACGTTGGTGGCTTTCAGCATACATCGTCAGAGTTTGTTGTTTGTTTTGGTTTATACACAATTTATGGCCATGTTAAGGGACTAAGAGAGTCAATATCATACAAAAGGAAGCCCGGCTTCTGAAGGAGAAACATTTCTATGATCTCATTTGAAACTAAAAATGAAAAATAATAAGCAAGGCTGTGAGTTCTGTAGTCATCTCTTCCAACACCAAATCAACTACTAAAACTTTTTTTCCTAAATAAAAATAAGTATCACCTAAATTTCTATCCATAACTTGGAAGAAAACCTTTAAAGTGAAATATAAAGATAATCCAAGGAACGGAAAAAACATGTTTTGAACTTTCTCAACTGAGAATTCTCTTTAATTATGCAAACACAAATATCAACTTCATTGATTATTTCACTGATAATGACTTTAAGAAAAACACTGTGCATGCACCTACCATTGCATAAAGGTAAAATAAAATTAAAACACTTCCAACACTGAAATTAATGTTGAGCATTATGGAAGTGAATATGAAGAACTACCATACTGTATTATCTCTTTTACTTTCAATCCAGTAATTATGCCTGGTTTGGAGTATATTTAAAGTTTTTACAGAAGGGTAAAGGTATCTCACAGTTCAGTAAAAAGGTGCTTTACAACGCAGAGTACCTGTCATGGAAGTTTTATACTGTGTATGCCAAAGGGTACGGAGCTGTTTGAAACTCTTAAAACATAGTACTGTACAGGTCTGCAGAGACAGAGATTACTTCCCTAATCAGGTCTTCTATCTCGCTATGTACAGAAAGCCACAATGTTACAGAGTCAAGCGATTCCTGAAACAGTTGAGTGACTCTCACAGAGGTTCCTGTATTTGAGTACGTGTGAATCTGGTGGTTAGAACTTTATCTAACATCACTCCAGTCGGTGGGGAGTTTTGCGTTTGAGATTGGTAAGTATTAGATCAAATCCTAAATTTACTTTCTGGTTTAGTACAAACAATGTTGATAACATTGATAATGCTATAGGCTACACTTTAGTGCAAATAATCTAAATACATAAGCGCTATCCTTTCCCCAAAAGGAGAAAGACTTACAGGAGCTATGCAATTTTTTTAATTAGTTTCCAGTAATTGTGATTATTTCTTCC